CCTTTGTTTATATATATTTTTAGTTTAAAATGGAAACGCGTGATAAAGTAAGGAAAAGAACGAAGCGAAGCTTTTCGGATGCTTGGCTCAGCGATGATCGATTTAAGACTTGGATCCGCAGAGTGTCCTTTGATGAAAGCCTCTTTCACTGTACGAGATGTAACAAAAATTTTTCGTGCTGCTCATTATCACATATAATAAGACATGCGAAATCTGCGTCTCACATAAGAAATGTCGAAAAAGATACATCATTATGTGATGATGATAATGTTTCTAAAAGAAAACCACCGCATAAAAAAATATTTAAACAGCGATGGCTAGAGATTGAGCAATTTCAGCCATGGCTACGCGAAGTGCGAGATGATGCAAGTTCATTTTTTTGTGCTATTTGTGATAAAATTATTTCCGGCGGTTTGTCACAAATCTATCGCCACGCACAATCCAAAGTACATAAAGATAAATTTGAAAAATGTAACATACAAATGACTGAATCGACTACGGAATTAAAAATGCAAATTGACGAATCGCTTTTGCGATTCGAGGCGCAAAGAAAATCAGCGGAGATCCGATACGCTGCTTTAATCGCTGACAAAAATATTCCACACGAAACTGCGAAAATGATACTAAATTTTTTTCAAGGCATAGGAGAAAACCCCAACGTATTGAGAAGCATGAGCATGGGTCGAACAAAATGTACAAACATAATCTCCAATGTTTTGTGTCCTGTAGAAACGACTCGTGTAGTAGGAAACCTTAGAACTACAAAGTTTTCTGTTTTCATTGATGAAATATCAGATATCTCGAACGAAAAATGGGCGTTTCATGTTCGGTACGTTAATCCCGAGACGTTAGAAGTTCACTCACAATTAGTGAAATTAATTGATGTGGATACGGAAGATGCTAGTGCAGAGAAATTGTTTAATGCATTTAAAAATGAAATGCACAAGCTCGAAATACCTTTTGCAAACATTATCGCTTTATCGTGCAACCATGCGTCGGTTATGACCGGAAAACATTTATGCTTTAAGAAAAAATTGAAGGAGATGTGTAAAAGCGTTTTGACCTTATCGTGTCCGTGTCATTCTGCCGCATTAGCTGCACACACTGCATGTGCTAAGTTACCTGAGTCTTGTAAGAAGTTTGTGGAAGGTTTTGTACAATATATTAAAAGTAGTCCCAAGCGAACGTCTATTTTCCGCGAGTTTTCCGAGTGTTTTCAAGAAACAAACTACAAAAGTTTAAAGTTATATCACACGGGATGGATTTCTCACTACACGTATATCAAAAAACTTCTCGAATCTTGGGACACCATAAAGCATTTTTTAAGCGAAGTTGTTAGAAATGAAAATACGAAAGCTGGGGAAAATCTAATGCTTTTAATGCAAAATGTAACAACAAAAGCATATTTGTTGTTTTTAAAACACGTTTTGCATTTTTTCCATATATTTAATGAATTTTTCCAAGTTGTAGATACAAGAATTCATTTGTTACAGCCAAAAGCAATAGATTTTCTAACTGAAATTGGTGAAAATTTTTTAACATCGACAGTTTTAAAAGAGTTGCCAAATGTAACATTTAGTAAAGTTGAAAATCACAAATTGCTAACTGATATTTGTTTAGGAACAAAATGCGAAGAATACCTTCGTCAATTGATGAAGGATGGGCATGCGAAGGAGATTGCAACTGTTCGACAGAACTGCTTGCAATTTTACGTTACCGTGGCCGAAGAAGTTTGTAAAAACTTACCGGTTAACAATGTATTTTTATCGAAATTAAAAATTTTTCTACCGCACATAGCTTTAATGAATTCTGACAGAGAAACATCGTACAATGATCTTTTTCTCATAGCCAAAACTATCGGCGGTTTTGACGAAAAATGTTTAAAAAGAGAATGGTTTACGTTAAACTTAGATTTTACGGTAACAGAGAAAAAAAATTTCTTAGAATTAACGTTTGACGACATGTGGACACAAATTTTGCAAAGGCGATATTCAACTAATGAAATAAAATATCCGAATTTAAAATGCCTTTTGAATTCTATTAGGTCACTTCCGAATTCAAACGCCGATCCGGAAAGGATAATGTTTTTCTTAACGGACATTAAAACAAGAAAACGAAACAAATTATCGCCAGCCGCTGTAAATGCTATTTGTGTATTGAAATCGGCGTTAAAATCAAGGGGGGAAACCGTTCTAAATATGAAGATTAATTCAAAACATTTATCTCTCATGTCGTCAGACAAATTATATGCTAATGTTCCAAAAAAGCGAAAAAGTAGTCATCTTCAACAATGTGCTGCAGATGATGATGCAGACGATATTGTTGTTGGCCCTTCTTCGTCTAACGATGTATAGTAATAATGTAAGAAAAAAATTAATTGTTTCTTGTCTTGTTTTTCTTTTTCAACGGCAAAACAGTGTCGTAGGGGTAAGTGGGGCATGTTTGGACTTTGGACACTTAACTTTGAATATAGATTATGTTATCATTTAATGTGGTATGATAACTTTCTCTGCACATACAGTTTGTTACATTTACATTTTTGTGTGAGGTAGTATATAGAAAATACGATAAAGTTACAAACTTCTTTGTTTACAAGAAATTACAACGCAAAGTTGGACTCACGCAGCTGTGATATTTTTCAACAAAACGACAATGTAATATATCGCTATGCCATGTTATGTGTTTTAGCCCTAAGCCTGCGGGGTATGTATGTACGTGATAACGCTGTAAGGGGAAATAAGATGAACTCGAAAAACTTTAGATGGACTCGGAAACGTTTGAACTCTGAATACGCTCGACGGTACACAGACTGCAAACGTTTCCGAGTTTATCTGAAGTTTGTCGAGTTCGCCCGTTATTTCCCCTTGCATCAATTATTACATCCCTTGTCTTTAGCAGTAGCTTACTTCATTTATGATTTTCTTAAGTTCGTGACATAAACGTGTCCGAATGTGCTCCACTCTCCCCTATATATAGCTATGTAAAAAGAAAAATATAATGTCTACATGAGACATCGTGCCGAATCAGAAACATATTTGTCACAAGTGTGTAAAAAATAGAGAATATTATACATATAGGTTTAAGCTTTTCTCTCGGATAAAATATAAGTTTGATCGATTCGTAATATTATTTTTTTTTAGTAAAATAAGTCTAGGGTAACTACTAAAAAAAGCGTCAACAATAGTACCTAAGTAACATAGAAATTTATTGTAATAATTTATTGTAATAACAATAATAGACTGAATGGACAAAGTAGAAATACGTGCAAATGTGAGGCATTAACATACTGTTGTTATAAAGCCAGAATAGCAATATGATGTGAAAGATAAATAGAAACGTGTATAATAAATACACGTATCTCAGACGAATATAACCACACGCGCGCAAATGTTCACCCACTGACATGCAAAATACGTACATGGACACAAAAAATTGAGTACATAATAATAAGGACCCATGCACAGATTATCGCTTAAAAGAAAATGTGCAAAAAGAGCGTATAGAGCGTTGGAGGATGCCTATTCAGCTATCGACATCAAATCACTATTCAAAAAGCCGTAGACGTACAAAATATATCAATTGAACGGAAGGATTTAAGAAGAATAACATCGTCAGCATACATATAGAGTTTGGAGGGAAAAGGAATAGGAGACAAGTCAGCAATGAAAATATTAAATAATAATGGACCAAGTATGAAGTTTTGAGGCACATCAGATGGAACAGTAAGGCGATAGGAAAGACTGGAAAGCGAATTGTATAAAAACTTGCTGGGAACGGTTCATAAGGAAAGATTGTAGAAAAGACAAGGCAAGAAGACTAGAAGAATAAACTGCAGGACCTAAATTTGGTGAGAAGATTATGATTGACGAAAGCTTTATCGAAGGCAATCAACGAAGTAAGACAACTAGAATCGAAACCCCTTAGCACGAGATCTGACACGTGGAGAAGTTGTGATGCTATGTAGACCACGAAATCCAGAGCGACATTTTGGGATAACGTTAGAGTGTAACCAGTAAAACGAACCAACATAGGTAAGATGAATGCGCTTGAGTGTTAAGTCTCATAGGCCAGTATTCATAAACAGATTTTTATATAAGATTATCTTGAGCTTCGTATCCAATGAAACGAGTCGTATAGCATCTAAAGATAAACTTAAGACGATCTTATATATAAGATCTGACTGTGAATACCGGCCATAGAGCAGCATATGGCGTAAAAGAACTTGGCTAATCACTTTCTTTACGCTCGTTTTTGTTACACCAGCACAAATTTTACGCCAGACGCCGGTACGCTTTACGCTGTTTCATGAGACTTTACCCCGAGAATATTATAAAGCTTAGCCGGAGTGATAAAAGTAAAACTAAAGGAACATTACAGGATGAAGAGATGAAATAATGTATCGGAAGAGCAGGAAGATATGGGAAAGGAGTCAAGAATAAAATAATCATTCATCAGCGCAAAATTAAGAGGACATGCATGTGTAAGATGTACGAAGAAAAAGATCCGGTGCCAAGAATAGAGATATTTCGCCAGAATTGGCGAGGGAAATTCACAGAGAGGTAAGTAAGAGTTGTTAAGGAATGACTTTTTTTTCTCACAACGGATAGTACATAGTTTACATTGTTACAGAGATATTTATAACGCAGCTAATTTGCAACGGACCAAGTTCTCCTGAATCGGAGAAGAGCGCGACGTTTTAGGGATATGAGTCTCCTAACGGAAGAATTTAGTGGGGCAGAAGGGCAGACGCAAGACACGCCTAAAGGCTAACGAGGCGATATGATCTCATACGTGTCTTCTTTTTGTGTGCGTATTCTCGCTATCCGATTGTTGGGTGAACCACCTTATTCTGGAGGACCACAGTGAACTCTATACTAAACTGGAACGTGATTGTGAACTCGATTCACTCTGTTTTGGAAGAAAACGGGACGAGCGAGAGGAAGAATTGCGACCAATCCATTTTTTCTGTTGCCGACTTTTCGAGAATGATTGAATACCAATGATCCATGGACGTAAGAAAACCTGGACGGAACGTAAGGTATGTATCATACGTGCCCAGGAGACGGGATTCTGTAATTCCTTAATAACGACAGTTTCGGTATTGTTGCGCAGATATTATATATAATAAAAAAGATGCGCAACGATACCGAAACTGTCGTTAAAGAGTTATAGAATCCCGCTTGAATTTTGTGCGTAAGTTTCTTCAATGAATGAATTCAAGAATCGAAACTTTGCTGTTTCAGGGCAGCATACTCGAAGATTCGGACGATATTCCGACTTTAAAGCAAAGGCTCGGATAACGCATGGTTTCGTGTGAGCACGAAGGAAGTGGGTTCGATCTTGACCTTCGTCCCATATGTTCCTCGATTAAGAAGAGAATTCTCTGTTTAAATAGAAAAGAATGTTGATTTTTGTCACATTGAACCTGGAGGGTCATTAAACAGAAGAAGTAAGGGAAAAAGAAGTTATAAGTGGTGGAATCTCCGTTAAAGGGAGGAGAGATTAAGAAATTGATCTCTCCCATTTGCCCCCATTTAAGAGAAGGAAAAGAGTTTATGAATGCCTTTGAAATGCGTTTCCGCCTTTGTTTTGTATCACGAGAGGGCACCTCCGATCCTATTGAGGTTCTCCTCTTGACTCTAGTAGTTTTTGTCAGTTATAGTACCACGTGGTATTTTGGCTCAATGAGCTTCCCCCACTCCAGCTCTTTTCGTTCCTCCTTCCTTGCACACATGGCGCACGCCGAGCTGAATCAACAAACTGTGAATTCGCCTAAGCAAACTAATTTCAACAAAATTGGTCGTCACTCCTGGCCGTATTGACTTCTGAAAAGAGGCAGGTGCCAACAAAAGGGAAAAAGAAGGTTTCTTGAGCCAGAAATCCATTGAAGTCTTGGAAGAAGAAGAGCAAAGTTTGCGACAAACATTCGATTGTTCGCCTGTGATAAAGGGCTGACAAAATTCAGTTCGAGATGCAGACTACCGACGGTGAGAGAGATGAAGGTGCGGAATTTCGTTTGAACGACACTAACGACAGAGTCGAAACCGTACGAACGGAATTAAGGGAGGCTGCTTTGATGAAGAGGAAGGAGAATCGCGTATCCGCTTGGAATAAAAGTCGTACTAATTTGGGAGAATGTCCAGGAGTTGAACCGTTTTCTTCCGAGTACATCGACGAGAAAGTGAAGCTTCTCAAGAGGAAAAGAATATCCCTCGTTGATTACAGATATTTGCCCAACGCTCTTATTCAGGTATGCATTTTGCTAGCTAGAATCTTTACCAAACATTTCACAAAATTGTATTTAAGAATGATAACATTCACAAAGACGCAAAATAATAGCGAAGTAATAATACATCGCTCGTTTGATATAACGACATAACTAAGAGAAATAAAGTTTTCCATAAGATAAATTTGAATGTTTTGAATCGTTAAAATTTTGTAATATTATTTTTACATGCAATTTTGGTGTAGTGATTGATTCTAGAAGAATAAAAGTATCTAGCTGTATATTAGCTTTTCATTCAGTGCATTGAATTCTCAACATTCTTTTGCAAATAATTAAAAAATGATAACTTTTGAGTTATATCGTTGTTGTAGAGCGCAAATGAGTGATATAATCTGTTATACTCATTTCAGTCGGAGGAGAACATAAACGCTTTTTTAAAAGTGGATCAAAGCTTGTCAGGTTTGGTGCGTGATCTATCTGGCAATGATCCTACTCTTCAATTATATGCAGCCAATTGCTGTTGCAATATTGCCCTGGGAAATACAAAAGCATGCACGGCATTAGGAAAAGCAGTTATTCCGTATCTGGTTGTCAAGCTGGAAAGCTTAAATTATGCCTTGCTGGTAATTATCTCTAATATTAACCCTTTCAGGACAGGTGGTTCACTATCCCTTTTATTTCAGGAACTATTAGTCCGATCTTTATGCCAAAATTAAAAATAGCGGAAATTAAATATAGCGGATTTAAATCTTTTAATAATGCAATTTACATAAAACTCACTTTATATAGGTTTTCGTTAAGTTCGATTCCAATCTCGAATTTTCAGCTCGTTAGAGCAGAGCACAATTCTCTGCACCGCCAGAATAATGGGGCAACCATTTTGACATTATTCATTAGCTCGAGTACATCGAAACAAGTTAAACATATTACGTTCTGAACAGATCTGCTATTTCGAATTTTGCAAATTTAAGATTATATTCGAATTTAGCGAACTCAATCTATATGTGAGTCACGCAAATTGCATCATTATTTAAACATATTAAAAAATTTGGTTTGCCATATTGGGTGTCAAAATTTTAGAATTCTGAGGCTATAATCGTAAAGAACGACCTATAGTTTTGATAGTTTATTCCTATTAGAAAGCTCTCGTCCTGAAAGGGTTAAGTAAAAGCCAATACAATGTGAACTTTGTTGGAAACTTGAAGTACTACATGGATTCATATTTTATTAGGATATTTGCATTTGGACAATCGGTAATTTGGTTGCAGGAAGCGATAAGGCTTTCTCTATCTTGCATGCGCAACATTGTCTAAAATATATAATTTTACTGTTGCACAATTGCAACGACTCGGTTCTTCCTTCAGTAATATATTCGCTCTTACATTACGTACATGTGGGATTTCATAAAATATCGTAAGCATTCTTCACTTTCACACATTACAGTACAAAGATAGTGAAATTTGCAAGAGAAAATTTAATATGTTTCTGATATTTACAGAGAAAGTGAAAAGTTGGAGCTCGTTCAAGTTATCATAAAACGGAATCTCTTGTACGAAAATCCAAACTATATTTGGTTGTTGGCTTTGTTGTCTTCTTCGTTGATATGCGTTGAACATTTGCACGCTATTCTGCCACAAGTCGTCGATTATCTTTACTCAACGTTTTCCAATTCGGATGGAATGGCTCAAGCTAGCGAGGTTTGTTTTTTTTTCTCCTTTATATAACAACATATGAAAGTTTTAAATTACATTTTTAATCTTTTCTATTTCAGATTACGGCATCCATACGTATACTGGCTAACACACTGCATGATTCTTGCGAAGATAAGATAGACATTCTATTGAGGAATCCTAAATACTCAAATGAGGATCTTCATCTTTTATTGAATAAATTGTTATCGCATCCTTACATGCACATCAGGAGAGAAACTCTGTGGTTGATAGGTAACTATGTGATATTTTTTCGATCTTTTTTAAAACGAGATAGAATAAGAATAAGATATGATCTAATTATTCTAATAAATTGTTGCAGGAAATTTGTATAATCATAGATTGTCCAGTATTAGTCAAAATATAAAAGATCTTATACCTTTTTTATCAGCACTGAATCAGGCTTTTTCCTCAATTGAAAATTCTGTATGAATGTATGTTAACACGCATGTTAAAATGTATGTTAAAACGTGTTAAACGACATTTTTAAAGAGAGGTACATGACGCTTATAAAAATAACTTACAATATGTAATGTAGATATAAAAATATATTTATAGTGTTCTTCGATTGTATATATAATACTAAGTATTAATTTTAATCATTACTGGACGGAGCATATATATATATATATAAAGTTTCTGAATATAAAATTTTGTCTATATATGCTGCTAATATCTTTTAGTTAATATACCCTTTTCACAGGTACAAATTTTCTTAATGGATCTGAGGAAGAATATCGATTTCTTCCTATGTCTTCTATACACGGCACCTTGACGATATTGAAATATATCTGCCCCATCAAATTCGCCGTTGGATGGTTGGCAGCTTTTAAACATTGATAAAGTGCTTGGTCGCAAGTACAATGTGATCTGTAAAAAGTTAAGACTGATAAGACTTGAGACTGATTCTCTTATAGAGACAACTTTGAGATGATTAACAGGCAGAGATAATTTTGAAACTTGTTAAACATGACAAAGAAATTTAGTAATTCATATAATGTGATACATTAGTTTAAAAAATGCACTAAAGCTTTTTATCAAAAAGAATTGACTGACTTTTCTTTACCAATTTCTGATAAGATCTTACTTAGTGTACAGGGAGTAGTTAGTGAGGTTGTATCGGGTTTGCTGAGCTCGTACTTTTATTGGGCAGAGATCGTGGTTACGACAACACCTGAAAAGTATACAAATTTGTCTTATCTATCCGATATTTTCCAAAAATTGATAATTTACGATTCTATATTTCAAAAGCTACCTGTCAATGTGAGGTAGATCGCCCAAATCGTGATAATTCTCGGCTAAGTCGCCCGTACCGCACCATTTTGTGCCTGGAATATATATTTAGTCTTCGTTAACAAATTTTGCAATTCTGTGAAACTGCGGGGACGCGTTTGAAAATGGTATAAACAATTCACCTGGCAAAATACCGGAGAACAGAGTGATGGAACTCGCGGCTATACGAGTCCCTCTACTCAATGCATTTGTAGGCAAGGTGGACGTGGCCTCCACTTGTAGTCCGTCTAACAATTCGCACTGTTGCATGAGTCTCGTTATCTCCTGGAAGGACACTACTTGCGGACGCGCAGTCATAGACAAGTTTCGCAAAACATCCGTAGCCTCGGACGGCTCGCTGAAAGAGTCAACGGTGCGTGTCAAAGATTGCGCAGAATGCATAAAAGGGAGTAATGATTAAACACATGACCGGTGAGAACCGGTTTTGATCCAGTAATGTCTAATTATACAGCGTTTTTTTTATTATTGAAGACCACTTACTATACTTCGATTATATTGCAGTCATGTAGTTCATTTCTCGGACCAAGATCGACCACTGCCACCGTCTGTTCGTGATAATAAACCGCTCGTACCTCGTCCTTTGCGAGCGCGACGGCACTTGGCGCGAGACCGCTCAACCCCTTGAATGTTGTGCTTCTGAAGAACGTTGGCTGCTGAGCGGTCAAGCTGCATATCGACACGACGAGAAAAACCGTCAAGCACACCGAATACATCTTCTCCCCCGAACTATCGATTCTCTTTTCGTTTTGTTATGCTGTTAGTCAAATGTAACGCAGAGCCCGCATAACTCCGTGTAAGTAAACACAACGTGAAAAGTTCTGCTTCTAAACTATATTGAAACTAACAAATATACAAGAGATATATTCCTGTTTAGAGAACGATTCACGCACACTAAGATACACGCGTTATCAATCAACAATCAACGAGACAAAAATCAATCTGTAGATCCACATATCTTCATTTGCTAACTATTTGAAAATAATGCGCGCGGTTATCAAAGCGGTGTGCCAAGCACGCATAAACGTACACGCGCAATCCATCATGTTTACAATCGCCGCACATTACGTGCTTTTATGCTTCCTTAAATTCTTCATATCGTATGTTTTATAGAATCGCCTTTACGACGCACAGTCTTGAAATCTTCGCGCAAACGCTAAACGAAGGAGCATTATCCAATTATTTGCAGAACGTATAACGATGGTTTGAAGATTCTAAAATAAGAAAAAAAGCACTCACATGATGAATCGTTTCCTGCGAAAATCGAACTTACCCCGTCGCGTTAGTCGATACATTATTTGGCACGTGATACATGTACACGAATTTTTTACGGAAGAGAAACGGCGCAAAAATTTAAGCGGAGTTACTTCAATCCTATGTAAAAATTGTCTGTTAAAAAATGAAGTTAGCACCCTTAACTTGAACGAGATCGCTCGCGTTCGCGAGAACCGATCGACTGGTCGGACTTCTCGCGCACAAACGGTGTATGTATAATTGTAACACACTCGTCCATCGGTTGCACATGGACAGACCGGACTACGTAGCCGGTCGAAAGACTAAACGTGTAAACGATGGTATGACACTCGCGTATAACTTCCCTCTCCCACGATGGCCACGATCTCGTGAGGTATTACCTGGTGGTAGCCAGTGATATACGCTAGTGGGGAGACCTACATTCGTACGACTAGGGCGAAGAAAGTGGGACGAAACGGCGGAATACGATTCCGCGGGTAGTAACTGCAGGTTCGCAGAATCCTTCAAACTTGAGAGAAAAAAAAAAGAGAAAAGCGACGTCTTGGATTTCCTCGCGATCGCAGATAGAACTTGTCGGGAGACGTTTGACATTTATAAAAAACCATGTATTTTGCATGTAAAAATCTAGAAAAACGTACAAAAAACACAATAGTGTCTGAAAAGGCGAAAAGCATCCTAAAAGTGAAAATCTTAAAAAAAAACTTGTGTTCAATGTAAAATATAAATCATATGCTGTTTGCGATTTTTTTTCGCGGTCGAAAGAGCGCCTCGATGGAATAGAGGGTTTTTTTTTGTACGCGGTGACGATGCGACTATCAACGTTTCCACATTTTTTTAGTATTGCGAAATTTCACTCGCGGCTCGCGATAATTGATTATTATGCAATGCGGAGAGATGTTACGCGCTTTCATTGACATTTTGAAAACCATGCCTAATGAGGCCGATGGTTCTCTATAATTTTGCTTTGTAAACAACGATGTTTAACAATGGCCTTGTCTCAGAGAATGGCACATGGAGCTCGACTTCGTAGCGCTCGCTGGATATTGAACTCCCCCCGTGCGAGTCGTGCTCAACGTGATGCTCACGGGAGTTGCGTTAGACAGCTGCAGTCTGACCGGGCACTGTCTATATCCTGCAATAAAAAATGTAGAAGCATTATAGTCGTGCCGCGTACGAGTGTAACGCACCAGTAATTTCAATAATACATGTGGGCTTTGGTGATGGATGATGGGATGGACATAGAAATCATTTGTTATCACGACTTAAGTATAAGGCGGTTTGCGAGACCGAGTAATTTGTTATACAAGTAGGTAGAGGCTTCGACTCGATTCTTGAAGTGAATTCTAATCGAGTTCCACATGTTACGATGAGAAATTAGCTCATTCTTTTCGTATTTTTCGAACGTGCTCAACACTTATATTTATTATGAATAATGAATAGGAATGAATATTTGTTATCATATGACATTCGAGGTAATTTGCATGAATCGTAAATTTCTTCTCTGTTTCGTAATTCGATTTCCGGAATGAATCACGGTAGACTTTCACATTTCGCGTATTTTTTAAATGTCGAGAAATCGACTTTTCTGATCCGTTAGTGTCTTTCGCTTTCCAGCTGTTGAGCACTTTACTTTATAATTATTTGATTAACATATGTTTATCGATAAGAGTCAAGGAACAACGCGATTGCTCATAAATTGCTAGAGATATAAGAGAGATTGTAAAGTACAGGAAATATATTGAATAAATAAATGAATTTTTATCACAGATATATACATAATGGATATTGGCGAGAGATTGGTGAGAGATGCAACAGTCCTCGACAAAGGAAAGAACCTACCGGCGTGGTGGGGCCCGGAGCAATGGCAACATATGGGGTTGTTGCGCGGCCTTGGACAAAACTCAACGCTATGTGGCTCGCCGCAGCGGACGCAACGCGGCAAGTGCCGGCAATTAGCGGCCATGTGCCAGAAACCCTGACATCGGTAGCACTGCAACACGCTGTCCGCCGCTTGCGATACAGTATCTTGATACGCTTCTGGGACATTGCCTCCGTCGTTCCCCGGCGTGTATCGCGAGGGTACACCGGACGAGGATGCGGCACCGCCGCCACGCCACCAGCGTTCTGGAATCGCATTGAAACGAGCCACCTCGAAGAAGTCTAGACCTTGACGCAGCAAAGCTTCGTAATGACCCGCGTCAAAAACCTGGACGACAAAGAATTGATGAATATCCTCCACATTTTATCAAAGAGTCATTTATTATATTTATAACATGTTACATCATATTATACTTGCATATATTTTATCTATCACTTCATGGACTTATGTTAACGACTATATTAATGATTATGTACGGCAGACTCGTTTCGATCTTTATCTCAACGTCTTTATATTCGTCTTGTTGTTAGTTTTTTTGTAGTAATTACTACCGAATGGTAATGAGATATTTCGAAAGTTACTTTCAAAACCGGTTGAGGATGTCTTACTCTAGAGAATTCCATTTAGAGAACTTGTTTAGAATTACATGTTTTTTACTGATTTAGCATTATGCATTTCTGTACAGTTTGCGTATTTCAATTGATATGTATATGTTAATTTTATGCCCTAACGTCCTACAGAAAATGATTGTTTCTTTCTTTTCCACTATAGTATATTTATATTTGCATAATAGAGGTGATGAGGTGTTATCAGGCTAATTCAAAGAGTAAAAATAAGCATTCTCTTTACCTCGACTCGAACAAATTGTCGCGAACGTTCGACATTTCCAGCAATGATTCCCTGCTTCGCTAGAGCCGAATTTATATCCTGCAGTGGTATAGCCCACGGTACGTCTCTCAGGAGCACGGCTTGGCGATATCGAGAATCTCTTGCAGAGAATCGCGCTACCTTATGGAAACAAAATAATAAGCTGAGAGATATATTTTAGCTTTTAGATTTTACTTATAGGTATTTCAGCAGATTACTTAGTTGAGAATTGACCATCACAATAGGCGATATAGCTTCAAAATAATAATAAAATACGACGCTATGATATGCAATCAATTTAGAGAAAACCATTTTCGATCAGGACTGGATTTTGGTAGCCTAATAATATTATTTGCGTACAATTTTTCGTACAATTCTAAAGATTATGTTAGTGTAATTAAATTGATTATATTAATTAATAATATGTGCTAGTACTGTGCTAGTTTTAGTTGAGACTGCGTTTTAAGACCATAAATTGTACGCGAATAATATTAGGCTATCAAAATCCAGCCCTGACCAAAAATGGCGTTTTGTCAAAATATTATTAATAAAATGCTCAATATATATGAAATATTTCAATATAACACAAAGGAATATATAAAATAAACGAGAAGTTTATAAGGTATATCTCAGTTTTTCTTTATCTCTCGCGTATTCCGCAATGTCAGATGGAATCTACAGGTAAACTTGTCATACTTGCACAGGTCCCCCAAACACTCGAGCTAAGTCGCCGCGCTGCAAGAGTTTCTCGGCGTCATTTTCTCGCACGAAAGCGGCTATGAGACCGCACGGAGTTTCAGAGACACGCCAGGTCGACAGCGGCTCGGAAGCGGCGATAGCTTCCTCGAGATGAGATCGCAGCAGTTCGCAATCTAATCGAGGAACGAATGATAAAATGTCGATCCAAAACTAAAGCGAGATCAATGAAGTCGTTGACGTTTGCTTATTTTTGAATGTCTTTTTTATGCTATTCAGTCAACATAAGTTTCCACGATTAGATATTACGTTAACTGTCTCATATTACTAATTAAATGGAATGAATTGGCATTTGATAAGTTATAAACTAGATCGTAAAACGCGTTTCTCATCTTCAGAATGCAGCAAATATTGCAATGCGTCATCACCTGGGATTCCGTGGCCTTGATCTTCAAGGCCGCCAGCACGCGAAATGTACAAAGAACACGTAAATTGTGTCTGCTGCTGCATAGCGGGAACTTCATTATAGCGCGACGTCGGGATTAAGTCTCTTTTTTCTGTCTGGTTATTGTCTCCGATCTTGCTCTGCGACGACGAATTTGTCACGGCCTTTTCCATCGTGCGCGCCACGTACTCGTGACTGTAACTTGTGAATTTATTATATGTACAGCCAGAATCGATTTTGTGTACACGGTTTCTATTACAATATATATCATGTATCGTATATCCGAAATACGACCCGTTACAAAAGTATTGCAAATCTGTGTTCAACATCGCGTTCCGCGTTCAATTTGAGTCATTTTTATAATCATTATATAAGTCGCCACTGCTCCTATTCAATATGTCGTTAATTTAACTAAAACAATATTAATTTAACTAAACCAATGGAGTTAAAATAACTCTTTAACACTGTTTTGTGTCAAAATAATGAATTTCGACACACATATGGTAGTTAAAAATAACAATGTTTTTTTACTTAAATATTGGATTTAAATTTTATTCTTTAATATTTAACAGTATTGATAGAAGAAAAAGGATCGATCGTTCTTTTCGACTTAGAACGTTATTGCATAAATATTTTATACCACTAACGACCACGTCGATAACGATCGTAATAATGTGGAGCTGTATTTAGGTCATTATTGATTGTAGCAGTAAAATGATAACAAAAAATTCCATTGGCATAAATAATTTGTTTCCTACAGTTGTTAGCGACGCGATTATTACGGATATATATATATGTATCATGTGTTTATGCAGCGATAATTGCATTCTGACTCCTTCTCCTTCTAGCTGTTATCAAGACTTCGTATCGCGATCATTTTTTGTATTTTCTCATCTCCACGCACAGTCATTTCTTCGTAACGTTGTAAAGGTCCATCTACATCTATCGTAATGTTAACACTGCGCGGACACCGTGTTTTTGAAGCACTCACCCGTGCACTTTGGGACTTTTAAGTCTAAAGAGTTTTTGAAACCGTTTCTGTATCACAAAAAAGTCTATAAAAATTCATGTATCATCTTTATAAGGTTTCAAAAAGTGATTTTTATACTTACATAGGCCGGAACTGTTGCGATTTTTTTTTTTAAAGCGCTAAAGCCATTTCCATGGGAATCACAAATGAAAAATTGACTGTGTGCCTTATAAAAGATCCGCGCAGTGTTAATCGTAACGCTTGTCGGAACAGCTTGGCCCCTGACATTCTGTTTCGCCATTTGCTGTTTGTGCAACACAAACTTATAACGCATTGTGATTTTATGCATATACACTAATGTTTACGACAGCTTCTTTCCTTATACGACCACGATCGCTTACGATTAAAGCGTATACGATAGATGTAGATGGGGTTTAACGTAATATCATCTTTGTTGTCAGCTACGTTTTCAATTAACGCCTGAGGGAGGCACATTTTTTGTCCGTCATTTACGATAGCCGTCTCGATACCGTTTCTCGCAATTGTAATATTATAAAACAATATAAAATAAGAGCGCGATCGCGATGAGAGGCATGACCGCGATCGCTCGAGGCTTGGCCGACCGACAGACTTCAAATCGAGGTGGATGCGGCGAGTTGGGATCCGCCCGGGGAACGACGTCAATTTACCTCGGGCAGCTTCTTTGTCTCCTCGTTAATGCGATAGAACGCAGCTCGGTCATCGGGAGGATCGGGAGAGAAAACGCGGCCCATGCTGTCATCAGGCGTCTCGTCGTCGTCTCGCTTAATCGCCTCGCTTCACGACGATGATCGGCAATGTTTCGCAAAGTTAGGCATTTACTTGTGAAATATATAATAATGAGGTTGTTTTCAATTGTTGAACTGGCTGCACTAGTTCAGAGTTCATCCTTTTCTACTCCACATTGGAAGGAAAAAGATAAACTCTGAACTATAATATAGTTCAGCCAGTTCAGCAATAGAAAACAGGCTCAATATATGTAATTCACGTTTCTGGAGCACGCGTAAAACTATGCAATTTTTTGGAGACCCAACACATCCTTACTTTTGAATAACGAGGAAGTCAAAAGAAGCCAAATTCAAGTAAACAAAGGTTGTTATAAGTTATAAAAATAATTGCCCAAAGATCAATGAAACAAGTGGAGATGTTTTGACCCTTTTGGGGTGTGTATTCTTCATCACCAATGAATAAATTATATAAATACGCGAATTTTAAGAGTCCATGCATATAAGTATAACAACCTTTATTTGCTCGAATTTGGCTCTTGACTTTCTCATTTTATCTAACTTATCTTTTTCTTTTGCATCTAATTTAAAATAATTTTTTATTTTTTAAGATTAAAAATACACAGTTCAAAAAAATCAACTTAATTAATCAATCAGTTAATTTATAATAATTTACAATGCTTATCGTCTACATCAAAAAGATTCGCGTAAACATAACGTAAACCAACATGTAAATAAAATCCATATGTATAGATATGTAAGCTTGAAATTTAACAATCCTGGTGTTTCGCGCCAACGTGCTGTCGCCGCTGCGTTCTGAAAATTAATTACGTGGAGTAAACATCGAAACCGTCACGCATCTTCATTGTAGCTGTCGTAAGTCATAATTGAGGCGACTCACCTTTGCGCAAACGGTCGGGACAGGTATAATTATGCGAGGACTGCTTCATGGCTTCATGGCGCGTTTCTTCGGAAAATCTTCGCGGTCTCAATTCTTGGAAAATTTTTTTAATTATTATCATTATAAGTGGAGCGAGGAGAGAAGTTGCGGAAATAATGCGAGAATGGTAGCATACAGCGCGTAATATTGCTGCGCGATATTATATATAATATATATATACAGCGTTTAAATCCGAGTTTGTTTTGCGAATTTTTCAACGTGGAAACGATTAATCGAAAGTCGACGAAGATAACAAAGTCGATAACGTGGATTCTCAATCTTGTCAATCGTCGATAATAACGCGACCTTCTTTTTCCGACTATAGGTTATGTCGGTCTCTGTAGGTCGCGGATTCGAAGCGATCGTGTTCGTTTTGTGTTCTCGTGTATTTCCGTGAGCACTGAGCACTCGTCGTCAGTCGTCAGCACTCGTCACTTCTTGTTTTTATTGCCAACGGTGTTGTCAAGATTATCGCGAGTGAGGACTGAGATGAAATTTTATTAATTTTTTTAATATCTCGCTCTAACACTGCGTGATCTTGATACGGCGTCAAGATGATGATGGACTATTTTGTGACGAACAATTCCTTAGCACCCGCACCGATGGGGATACAAAGCACGGCGGGTGCTGTGCCCGTGAAGAATGACAAAGGTTAGTTTACGTTTGCCAAAGTGAAGTAAAGATTTTAATTAATTAACACTCTCTCACTGTCACACGTGCATTATTTACGATACACCAGAACCTAACTACACAGCTGTAAGAACCGACAATAAAATATTACTAAAGCGACTGGTCAAAAAACAGTCTTGGCCTAAAGACGTAATTTGTTTTTATTCCATTTGGCAGTGAAAGTGTTAACATATTCGCGTTTAAGGGTATTAAAATTTTTCTGCCTTTACCTGAGAAACTTCAGCGAATTTTATAAATGAATACGAAAATAAAAACGATGTACTGACAACCACGTGATTTATCATAAGTGGTCTTCAGCATTGGAGAGGTGTTTACAAAGAATAATATAAATGGATGCATTCAGTGGATAAAGCAGCTTGGTGAGAGCTCGGTGATTCTTTAATATAATTAGTTCTTGCCTTCAGTTCTTCGTTGGATTAAAGTATAACTGCATAAACTACAATCATATTAAATAATCACTAAGCGCTCACTGAGCTGCTGAATGCGCCCATTGATAACTTTGTTTACCACGTCTGATAAATACTTATGCTTATCTTTTATCTTAATTTTATAATGTCTATGATAAAGTTGTTAAGAGATTCATAGATTATATACGTTTGCATAATTAAGTACAGCAGTGGTAACAGACATGATATTTATAGTGAAATATTTGGAAATATAAGGCAATTTTTGTCTGTAATTGGTGCAGAAGATACTCACCTTTTTTTTACAAGAAATGTCTTTGTTTCTATTTTATTTTAAGAAAATTTGATTCATTTTTATTTTTATATGTATGATATGCAACGTTATTTAAAATTCCTTCGCATATCAGAATTTCTAAATAACTGTTTCATGTTTGTAGGAGAATTGTCTATGAAGAAGGTGAAGGTACATCGTTACGTTTCCGGTAAGCGGCCAGATTATGCAGCAGTAAGTTCGGATGAGGAATCAGAAGATGAGGACTTCCTTGAAAGGCGCGTGCACAAGGGTTACGACGACAACGAGACCGTCGCGGACGTTGCCTCACATTTGCACACGAAGAGTAGGGACGAGGATGATCCGCGTCTGCGAAGGTTGACACGGCAGCAAAAGGAGGCGTCGGCCGAGGTGCAAGCGGAAAGACACAGACACATTCACGAGCCCGAGCTTATCGAGATCGAGCTAGAAAGAACGCGAGAGAGGATCAAGTTAGAGAGTTCTGACTCGTCCGAGGATGAGGAACTGTCGGATTCCGAGATAGAGAAACGACGGGAGGCCCTGAAGCAGCGAGTGCTGTCCAGGAAGGAGACGGAGGAGGAATTGATACAGGGCGAGGAGGAGGAAAGGTCGGGCGAGACCTCGGAGGAGAGCTCGGAAGAGGAGGAGTACACAGACTCTGAGGAGGAGACTGGACCGCGGTTAAAACCTGTGTACGTGCGCAAGAAGGACAGGATAACGGTGATGGAGAAGGAAAAAGAGGCAATGCGGCAGAAGCAAGCAGAAGTCGAGGCCAAGAAAGCGGTCGAGGAACGAAAGAGGCAAACTCTGAGAATGGTAGAAGAAACGATACGGAAAGAGACACAGATGGGCAATAAAGGTAATACCGAGCACGAGAGCAAGTTGAACGATGTTTGCACGGACGACGAGAACGACGAAGTGGAATACGAAGCTTGGAAGCTGCGCGAGCTTAAAAGAATTAAACGAGATCGCGAGGAGAGGGAGCAGCTCGAGAAGGAACGTTTGGAGATCGAGCGTATCCGCAATATGACTGAAGAGGAACGAAGGCAGGAGGCGCGACTAAACCCTAAGACAATCACCAATAAGGCGGCCAAAGGAAAGTACAAGTTCCTGCAGAAATACTATCATCGTGGCGCATTCTACTTGGACAAGGACGATACTATATTCAAGCGTGACTTCTCTGGCGCGACTTTAGAGGACCATTTCGACAAGACGATTCTACCGAAAGTCATGCAAGTAAAGAATTTCGGACGCAGCGGCAGAACCAAATACACTCACTTGGTGGATCAGGACACGACGCAGTTCGATTCACCTTGGATATCGGAGACCGCTCAAAATCTCAAATTCCACAATAATCAAGCGGCGGGGATGAAGCAAGTCTTTGAGCGACCCTTCTTGAAAAAGAGGAAAACTGAAAATTAATAATATACTAATTTTTTTCATCTTTTATTAATGTAGCAATTACATAACGTATTGTAACACATCGAAATATTTGTAAATACAAATCTTTCAGTTCGACAAATATATAACTTGTATGGGAAAGACATGCATGAAACTATTATATTGACATACAATTAGAACCGACTTATCACATTGCTGGCTTGTTCTACAAAAGTAATCAACATGTATACAAAAATCATATAAATATAAACTTTATATATCAGGTATGCAACTCTTATTATTATGGAAGAAATACTATGTTGTTTATTTTGGAAATACTGCATGTGTACTGGAGCTAATGTGTTTTCGCATATTTAATTAAAAAATGTAGAAACTAGAGTAAAATTTCTAAAGACAATTTAAAAAATTATATTGATTGGAAATTTAATATATTAAATATACCAATATTAACTATAAAATAAATTTAGGTAAATGTTTACAATTAGGGCCTGACCTCCGATGACCTTGACCTTGACATATGTACAACATTTACCTAAATTTATATCGGATCTTGTATCTATCATCGGATTGACGCAGAAAGAAAAAGAATTTAACACAAACATCCTGTTTCCTTGCCCTTCATATTGAAAAAAGATAAGTTTATACTATATATTTTTAATATAGGTGTCTCAGCACATTTTGGAACTCACCCTATGTGTATAAAAATGGAATTTAACGAGCTGCAGAAACATTAATATCTATAAATTTAACAGAGAAGTTAAAAATCAATACAATTAATCATTTTATGTCCAAAAATTGGACATAAAATATATATAACTTTCACAAATTAGCTTTGATGTTTTTATCCAAAACTATGGACTTTTTGCATCAATCTGATGTATCAGTTATAACCCGGACACTTGCAGTCAAGCATCGAAGTCTTATTGTATTTATAGAACTTACGAAATAATAACAGTTTCGATGTTCATTAATCTCTACATATTCATAAACATGCACGTAAACAATGTTATATAAAACAATTAATCTCTAGAAGAACTTATTTTTCGAGTTGCAGTCTTTTTAATGCTTGTTTTGCGGCTGCGCATTTAGCCTGTTTCTTATTAACACCGAAACCATGGAAGAGTTTCTCCTTACCACCGATAGTGATCTTCAAAGGTATCATAACCATGCCAGTGCCTTTAATCAATGTCGCTTCTCTGCAATCAAAAGTGCGTTTTATGTATCTACACAAATGAAAGAGAGAATTAATGTACGTGTGTAATCATACTTACAGGAACTTAGGACGTATATCTGTATTTTCATGTATTACTCGTACCGGCTGTTTAGGAATATTTTTGCTAAATTCATCTATAAAACAAACATTAAAATTTTAATTAAAAAACGACAGTACGTAATATAAAGTTAAAGAAAAATGACAACTTTTTATTTTTTTTTTAATTTGTGCTTTACTTAATTATAAGTTCTTCATTTAATTAGATTAGATAAAGCAGATATATATAAGATTATATTTATTTAGTTATATATATTACCGATCTCTTTGTGCATAAGAGAATGGATAATTTCCCAGACTTTTGTAAGACTTTTGCCACTGTCAAGATAAATAGCACCGATTAAAGATTCGAATAAATCTCCGAGAGTCTTTGGAACGTCAATATATTCTGTCAGATTACACTCGTCTTCTTCGATCAGCACGCATAACAGCTGTATTATAAAGAAAAAGAAGAAGATGTATATCACTTATTACACTTGCTATAAAATTTGTATCGTTCGCGTACCTCGTCATTAATTGCATAGTCTCGTTCCTCTTGGAACTTCACAAAACGATCAATCATTTCGTGCAACATGGGAGCGTAGGCCAATAAAGCGGTATGCAAACCATACCGCACTGCCAAGCAGGCGAACGTTATGTTATTGACGAGCGCAGATCTCAGATCGGTAAGATCACCAGGACTTAAATTTCCACAATTTTCGTAAATGTGACACGTTATCAAAAAATCTGGAATTATCAAGAAGATACAGTTTGTTAATCGTTGCGATTTATTTTAAAAAAATTAGAAAATATATTAATAATCTTTCATTCTTTATATGCATTATTCGTGATTATTATATCATTCATATATGATACTGTGTTATAATTTTACTGCGTGTATACTCGTCGATATTTTATATTTACCAAGAATAGCATCTCCGAGAAATTCTAATCTTTGATAACACTCGGTTATTGCATTCGGTGTATAGGATGGATGCGTGAATGCCTGAAACATGATTTAGATAGTTGTGATTTTGTATTATATATTTTGTATTAAGATCTATTCAGACAAACTTGCATAGGTGCATAACCATATGCATAAAGAAACGGCGTGGTCTATTTCCTTATGCACATGCATATGGACCACGCAATTCTCTTATGCTTATGTTTATGCGATTGACCTTTATACTGTAAATATATCTGTATACAGGAAAATCTGCATAAACTACAGTATAAGATGGATAATTAAATAAACGTATACACACACACACACACAATATATTCGCACGGCAATCACTTTTAACAAATTACCTGTAACAGAAATGCTCGATTCTTAAATTTATAGCCAAACTTGGCTTCTATAGTATCAGCCCACGGCATGTGGTGGTTCGGATCGCCACTACCAATTACAGGATCAGGTGGATTATTATCCAGTAATTTGTCAATCTCAATCCTATTGTCAATATCAGGCAGTATACCGAACCATTTGAGCAGTTTTGCGGCGCCTTTTATACCGTTACTCTAATGCAAAAGAATATTTTTTAGTGTCGTAATATAACATTTAACATAATAAATGCTAGTAACGTTTAATACATTCTCATCTAAGTTCAAGACCGTAATGTTATAACTGCAAACTTACTCTGAGATAAACGCCAATCAACGCTTCTACCGAATCCGCCACGGTTTTATCGGATAAGATTTGTACACCGAGATAATGTTCGACACCCGTTTGCTTATCCCCCTTATCCCAGTTTATCACCGTCTGCTGCATCACAAATTTTGTATCTTCGCTTATGTATCCGGTGTACCTCTCGAATTCCGGTATTTGAAATTCGTACAATACATTTGGTGCCACTGATTCCTTCAGTAATATCGTTTGCAATGGCCGCAGCACCGTGAACGCGGGCGGGATAAAATTGCTCGTGGGCACAAACGCATCGTTCTTTATACGACCGGGAATACCCTTTTTACTGCCGCAATAATAGAGATTCCGATTGCCAATAATCTTTCCCTTCACCGCCGTCAATTGACCTTCGCTGAACGTTGGGAATTTTTGATATAAAAACAGCGATACAATGAACTTTAGATAGGAATCACCTAAAGTTTCCAACCGCTCTAGATTGAACATATCTAGGCCCAGTTTGGTGGTCAGCGCCTAAAATTAAATGAATGTAATTATTATTTATGTAATTATTATTCGTGACATGCGACACATGAGAAATAAGCTTCCACTTACATGCATGATTTCTGTTGAATTAGGACCTTGTGAGGGAGACTGTCTATCAGAGGACGCAAGAACATTTAACGATGGTGCTGATATCATTGACCTTTCTATGTAGTGACCGACACTTTTATTCGTATTTTTCTACACATAAATGAAATGATCATTTCAAAAACACATATGATAATCATGACACATACCGCTATATCCTGCTTACCTTGACGCTGTCATCTTCATTATAGTTTGAGTTAGACATAAACTGATTATAATACTGAATATCGATCATTTGAATTTGGTCTATATCGCGATATAAATCACGAGGTTCCTGGTCCCTCAAGAAGGGGTTACAATCTGTTTTTGTAGCCGGCGTTGCGAGTTTATGAAAATAAATCCCATATGAATACAAATATTAGAAATAGAAAGAATCACGATGACACTATCAACCTTTTTTTTTTAAATTACATAATAAATATAGATATAAATAATATGTATGTGTGCGGAAACAACAGTCAAGTACTACGTACCTAATTCGAACATATTTAAATCTGAATACGTTTGATCCAATTGCGTTTTCTCAATCGAATCATCCGTCAATTCCAATCCATTACTATAATCCTCTTCATTCAATTTAGCGACATCTTCCTCTATTTCTAAGGGAGGTAATTTCTTTAATGTCATCGTACCTAATTCAGTCTCTCTTGCAATAGTTACTCTCAAGTCTTCCGCGATTAAGAATTGACAAATTCTGTGAAGAATAGAAGGCAACGTGGTCGCTTTTAACCAATATACAGCCGGGAAATTTATCCTCCAACACAGTTCAGGAATTAGATGTTCCTGAAGATCTTCCAGTGTGTCGTCCGTTTTCTTATATTTCACCGGACCTTCGGGCAATTTTCTGCAAATTACACAAATTAGTTGAATTATATAGATACCATAAACGTGATTCTGGCGACTGTAGTATACCGCACCTCGGTTTTATGTAGTTAATTTTGATTGGTATTGGTTTCACCTCCAACATAGATTGCTGCAGATTTTCTATAGTCAGTCCATGTTTTTCTTTATAATAATGCGTGAATGTCTCAAAATCCTCATTGGGAAAACATGATTCAGGTGTGAGATCATCACACACTCGCGTAACTACATAGACTGCTGATCCTCTATACGTTGGGGTAACCAGTGCTAACTCGTAATCGCTAGTCTTAAAATGAAAAGGCTTATCCGGCATAATTCGTTCTATATGTTGATACGTTTCAACAGCGTTCCAATTTATCTCCTGCGTATCATTCACTGAAACAGCAGAAAAAAAAAATTTAATATCTTCTTATTAAGTATTGATATATACACATTGAACATGGAGCTGTAGACAATAAATTTATATAAAATACAATAGCGCTAAATTATATTACAATATAAATGTAAGTTATAACATAATCACACACATACTTACATGGAACAATTAAGAAGGAATTTTCAAGATCATCGTTATCGAAAATCATAAAGCTTTTAATCACAGGAATAATATCATTGAACAATAAGAAATGAAATCTCTTAAGCAATTGGATATCACTTTCGCTCAACATTATCGTTGTGGGATTGGATTTTACATCGACATTTAATTTACCATCCTTCATGAAAATCGGAAACGAGGGTATCTGACAAACATGAGAAAAATTTGATTAACGTGACTAGCAATTTAAACTAGTTCTGCGAAAACTAAAATGTTAGTAAATGCTTCTACCTTTGGCAAACTCTTTGTGGAAAGAATACCAAAGCCATTCTTGTCATTAAGCAAATTATAAAAAACTACACGTCTATTATCATAGCCCGTCACAGGATACGTAGAGGTACAATCAAGAATATGAAGATACAATGGCTGAAAAGGCTGTGGATACGCACCATAAAACGCAAGCGGATGCTGCAAAAGCATTTTTATAAGTAACAGCTCTATATAAATGTATATAAATCTTATTTGACACATATATAGTATACTTGCTTCTAATTTATGTTCTCGCTTTCTTTTATATGTGCCAGATTGATAATTGTCTTCATCTATCCAATTTGGGAACAAGTAATCCAAATTTTGTGTGATTTCATCGTCGGTTGCAGGTAATAGCTTGTCGTTCAATGCACCTAGTTCGTGCAATCTTATGCAACTTTTCATAGCAGCGGATCGTTTAGCACTATCTATACTTTCCTTAAAATCACCATAAATTTCAACTTTTAGTGGTGATAAGTTTGGTAATTTGAGAGAAACCTGCCGAGTTTATACAATAGATAAACACTGTTGATGAATTATGAGGATTAAATAGTAAAGAATATGTATAATACTTGAAACAATTTCGCCCGAAGACTATCCTTTTCATACAATTTCCAAACCGGAACCAGACAAATAAATTTAGATTTCAGTAGAGCAGTGCAATACATATTTATCAAGCTAATCGCACCCATTTCTGTTAGGCAACTTTCCACAACACCATTACGTTTCACTGTATACGGCGGGATCTCACAATCAGTATACAGATCGTTTATAATATCGTTTTGAGTAGGTAGCGTACGCTGTTCGGTTTGTCCCACCAAAATCTAACAATACAAAGACAATCATATTATGTTTGCCATTGTATTTCAATGTACTTTGTCTTTTTATTTAGACAAACTGTTTATTATATTATTGCATTATATATATATTTGCACCATATATATTTCTTTATTAAATATTAAATTATCACTGAAATAGATTTTCGAACTTTGGCAGGATATTCTAACTGCAATATCTTGAGGATGAAAATGATCTTGTGATCATAGATTCAAAAACGCATTTTTTCTTAGTTATGAACTTTTTTGCAAGAGTTTTATAAGCTAAAGTTTTGAGATATTTGCAAGAATATTGTTCTTTTTCTCGTTTTAAAATAACGATTAATGCACCTAATTTCTTTGCATATCCATGCATGCATCGTGCTTATTATTCTAATATCAGCTAATAATAGTTATGACTTGAAAAAAAAAAAGAATTTTTGATCCTATGATCGTACGATCTTTTTTCATCATCAATGTATGAGCCTTAGTAGTGATTTATCTGTTATCATATCGGATTGCTTACCCCTTTCAATTGCAACTCTGTTTTTTTGTACTCATAATATCTCTGAAGAAAACCGCAATCCACTTTCGGCATTAAGATTACATAATTACTCGAATTGTGGCGTGCCCGACCCTTACTTTGAACATATGCTCTAAAATCCATTGGCATATCATATCGTATTATCAATGTGCAAGTTGGTATATCGATACCTTCATCAACAACATCGGTCGCTACAATGCAATTTGTCGTACCTCTTTTAAAGCTGTAACACAATGCATTTTTAAATTTAATTATTATTATACCAAGCTGACTGAATTTATCGACTTACATCCGTAAGAAAACAAATATGCAAAAAATGAAAGATTACCTTTGCAACACTTCCTTATTCCATTTCGCAATACATGAAACTTCTCTACTATGTTTGTAAGGATTATTCTGAAATCCAAGTACGTAATCGGGCGAAAGGAAACTGTATTGCTTATCGTGCGCAGATAATGTCTAAAATAATATATATTTCTAATATTAAAAATTAAATGTATACTTTTTTTCCGAGTTTATTAAATAATTAAATTTATATTTATGATTACTGATACTAATTTATAGGTGAAAAAACAGCGTTTTTAAAAGCAATTATTAATTTGTACTATTGCTAATCAATTATTGATAAACAGCTCATAAAGAAATTTACTTTTAATATATGATATATCACTTGTGTCATAAATCTTTCCTTGACAAAAATAATGCAGCAGAACTTTTGTTTGTTCAATTTATCATTATCCAACAATATCTCAAGTAATTTAAGGACTTGGTCGGATGAAAATCTGAAATTATATTATTGTAACATCAGTCAATATAAATTATTATAGTTTGCACAATAAACTTCACTAATTTTTTAATACTTTATACCAACTTGTACAATCGTTCTAATTCTGTGAGATCTTTCATCTCGTTATCAAACAGTTTCCTTATTAGTATTACTTGAGTAATTAGATAATCCAGAAGAATCTCTGTCGTCTAAAATAGAACCAATAAGTCGTTAAAAATAAAAGTAAATATTGTGGAACACTTAAAAAAAAATATTTTAATCATAATTTTAACTCATACTTGGTCGCTGCAGTATTTCCTTAAACTCTCTAGCTGGATTAAATGTAACAAAGCGGACTTATTTCCACCATATATGCCTATAACAAAAATGATAATATCTTATATATGTTAAATGTTTATTAAAAATTCAATAATAAACATAAAGATCAGAAAGATTGAGATTCACATGTACGTCCTAGTACATGTATATAAGTGAATCAATTACCGGTAAGTAATGTAGTGGTTTCTATGTCTTTCAAAATAGCTTCTAACTTGGAAGATTTAGATTTAGGCCGCATTTTCACGCTGGATTCATTATATATTTCATCGAATTCAATCTTTACATTTTCTAGAATTTCTGAAGTTGTTTCTATAATACAAGTTATCTTTTTCATTAAAGTTATCTGTGGAATTATACATTTTGTGTATTTGACGATATTTTCTTTCGGGTTTGTACAATATCCTTGGATACAATCTGTTGAACCTACAGTTGCTATCTTTGCATGGAATGTTATTTCTAAAGCCTGTAAAGGATGTGAATGATTTTAAAATGCCTAAAGATCATAATTAAAGATTACTGAGCGATAAGATGATGGACTGGGAATCTTTACCTTAATCGTAGATTCAATTTTATCTGCTTTTACATTGGCGTTCAGTAATGTTGCCGACATAGCTAAGATACGTGGATGCTTTTCCTTAGAGCAATCTTCAAATCGTTGCATAATTAGTCTCATTGGATGATTAGATACAGCTCTGTGGCACTCGTCAAATATGATTAAGTTTACTCTATCTAACTTCATGCGTCCGTGCCCGAGGATATCCAGAAAGATTTGCGACGTCATTACCAAAACCTGGATCATACAGAGTCGTTACCCATCAATTATTTCAAAATAAAATCAGAGTAAATTGATACCGCAAATTATTACCTCGTGTTCTTCTATTTCGGCCGACCATTGTTGCTCCTGCCAAAAGTCCACCTGTAATTCAGTGCTGATAGTTTTAAGCCCTACCCAGCGAACACAGAATACACCGAGTGCGCAATTTGATAGCTGTCGCCAAGATGGCATCAAATTCCGAATTTGATGCCATCTTGGCGACAATTTGCTATCAAATTGCGCACTCGGTGTATTCTGTGTTTGCTGGGTAAGCTACTTGAGTGCTGGTCTACAACCTTGCTTTAAAGGATTTATATTTAAGCTCTAAGTCGTAAGAAATTGACCAATCACACTGAAATTTGAGGAGAATATTCGACTGTGATTGATCAATTTCTTACGGCTTAGAGCTTAAATACCCTTTAAAGCAAGGTTGTAGACCAGCACTGAGAGTCGGCTGGTGGGAGACACGCACATAAGAGAAAGCACGTAACCTGTGCACTCAGATCGTGTGCGTGTCCTCCATCAGCCGACTCTCGAGTGACTTAAATCTATCAGCACTCACCTTCATGTCTCCGCTGTAACCTTTACATTTTAGGCCCGTGTGCCTACTTATATAATCCGCTTGTTGCACTACCAGTGCTACTGTGTTTACAACGAATATACTACGTTTTCCACCTTCCCGATAAGGTCTAAATGTAAAAAAAAAACAAAACAACCTTTTGAAACCAGTGTATACACATTAGGCAATTTTTGGCGTGACTCTGGTATAAGCAACCAAAGGGTACCAAACTGCACCAGAACCAATAGCAGCCACGGATAGCAACTTTGGTATATGTACCAAACCATACCAAACAATCATCAAAAATCGCCTATTATCAACACAGGTGCGCTGTGTTGTTCGATTGTTGTGACAATTGGAAAAAAAAAAAAAAAACTGTCAGATCAGACCAGAAAGAGAAACATTTTCATGAAGAGTTACGTACCTGCGCACATCACCGCTTAGATGTTTCAAGAGCATAACAGCTATGTATGTCTTGCCCGCGCCAGTTGGCAGGTATAGTATCGTGTTATTTCTCGTTGCCCTTTCATACAGATCTATTTGATATGCTCTCGGTGTAAACCCAGTCTTCTCATTTTCTGGAGTAAATTTCGCCTCCATTGTTTTGTACAAATCAATCGCTGATGTTAAACTGTAGAATGGCTGAAAAGAGACACATTCAAATGAGCAGTTAATAATATTTGAAAGATAGATCAACATATTTAATATATTTCATACCAACGATCTATATGCTCTTTAACTGTCAAACGACGAATCGTCTGATTAATCCACAGCGAGTACTACGGGTTCTGTTTTCTATTGCTGAACTGGCTGCAGAGTTTATCTTTTCCCTTCCAATGTGGAGAAAAAAAGATGAACTCTGAACTGGCGCAGCCAGTTCAGCAACGGAAAACAGACATATATGTTTATTCTACAGATAGAAAACAGATCCCATGTCTATTCGCATAGACAGCTGGATACCGTGTTCCCGTCTAGCAGAAGTCCCTAACGGATTTTCGTCCTGTTATACATTTATAACAGTTTTGCTTTTCTCGAAAATGATAATACATCATGATAGGAAAAAAAATTGAAATACAAAGATCTATTCGAAAATACTAAATCTAAGCGAAAAGCGCGTACGTCGAACACTTTATTTATCCGTTGCGGCAACGTGTCGCGAACGTGTTTTAATTAACTAAAATATCTGACGCAACCAATTCCGCGGTTGGGTAGAAACATATCGGGTACTCGGTGGGCGAGAATTGGGATCGACTGCCGGCGAAATTACAGTTAAATCAGACTGCCGGGCGGTCAAAACTTTTTCACGATCTTCTTCAAAATTTTCTCTCAATATTCTGAATCCTTACCGACCACGTTGTCGCGCGGCGCTGAATCGTTTCCAGGAAGCCAGGAAGATCAACAATTCCGAACTTAATTAGAAAGCAATTAAAAATCACAACACATGCTCGATCCTCGATCAACGACGACCGTCCAACTACTCCAACTACTCCAATTTCATTGTCTGACGCAGTCTGACGAAATGCTCCGCGGGAGAACCCCAAACTCCCCGAAGATCCCCTTCTATCATACCATCTGACTATCTGACTCGGGGAAGGATAAAAAAAAAAATAACATCAACAATACCAATTCACGTGAAGTGTCATTTCGTGAAGCTTTAATTGGACGAGAACTAGGGAGTTACTTTGAGAAAACGCAAGGGTGCTTTTTAACAGCCAATCCATGCGACCGACGTGGTCAACAATAGTTGGCCACGCAGTGCCACGCACGCTGGCTGTGGCAGAGGCCGTGGTTACGTCATCCAAATTCCGATTATTTTAATGGGAAGGGGGTTAATTAATTAAGTAATGGCTGCGTTTTGACGAATCTCTGCTTAGCTAAGCGCAAATTAGCACGTGAATGTGATTGGTTCTTACCTTTGGATCCAACCAATTACATTCACGTGCTACTTTGCGCTTAGCTAAGCCATAGAGATATAAGAATAGAGTGCGCGAGTCATATGCTCGCACGTAAGAGACTGCGATATAGGAATAGAAAGAGAACGCTGCATATGGGCCCCTGCTGTCTTTGTCTATGCACGCATGCGTCTTTGCGCTGCTCAGTGTCTATGGCTGCATTCCGATATTCACGTCAATACTGCAAATCTATATTTTATGTTACGTATACTATAGATTTTCAGTACCGAAAGTTGCTGACGGTGAATATCGGAATGCAGCCTATAACGCATGTAGAGATATAACCTATAATAACGCATTTATGTTCTAACCCCTTGAACCCCTTTGAAAATATATCCTTAAATAATAATTCCCAAAATTACCAAATTATTACAGCAAAGTATTGGAATTGAATATGGAATTGTATATAAATATACTCAATATATATAATAATAAAACAAAATTTATTACATGTTGTTCATACAATGTTAATCATAGAATAGAATAGAATTCTATTCAGTCTTTTATTATTTAACACAAAAATTAAATTTTTTAAACACAAAAATTAAATTTTTTTAACACAAAAATTAAATCTTTTAAATCAGTCTTATTATTTAACACAAAAAAATAAAATATAAAAAAATAAAAAAATAAAAATTTTACTACAAACAATATAATATCAAATGCACATTATTAAATATTTATAAAAGTATACAGTTTTGCTATTGTCCATTAAAAATTAATTAAATTTTGAGGTTAGAGATATTAATATGTACTTACGTGTGAAAACTACAATTGGAATTAGGAGATGCTTCTGTTTTACATATCAAGCATTTCTTTGTCATTTTAAAATGTTTTTGCTTAAATAAGAAGGTTAGCTAAAAACGACATAGAGATAGAACGAAATAAAACCGAGAATACCGAGGTATGTACAATCTTTCATGACCTGCACATCACTGCACATGCGCGCATAGACAAAGACAGCAGGGGCCCATATGCAGCGTTCTCTTTCTATTCCTCTATCGCCTTTTCAGCTCGCTTGCGCACTCTATTCTTATATCTCTATGAGCTAAGCAGAGGTTCGGCAAAACGCAGCCAATGGGTGCGTTCAGCCGATACTCCGCTAGCCTAGCGCACGTAAGCAGCGAGCGCTTTGCGAGCGCTTTGCGAGCGCCAAATTTTTCCGTAGCAAATGGTAGCAAAGCGCTCGCTGCTTAGTGCGCTAGGCTAGCAGAGTATCGGCTGAACGCACCCAATATCTGCAGTTTTTTTTATCAATAAGGCTGAGTTTTCACTGAGCGCGTCACGCGTCGCGTCGTCCGAGTTGAACCAATCAAAACATCCCATTTCGATCCCGTCACAAGAATGTAATGAAATGGGATGTTTTGATTGGTTAACTTGTGACGACGCGACGCGTGACGCGCTCAGTGGAAACTCAGCCTAAGACGGTCTTGAAATAAGATCTGATTATGAATACC